TCAGTGTAATTTTATCATAATTTTCGTTTTGAATAATGGTTTTAGATGGTAGAGTATTTTTATCAAGAACAGTATTCTGTTTTGAATTAGATGATTTAAAAACAACTGTAGTATTTCTCTTATTTAAATGTTTTTTACTGCCATTCTTATTCGAATCATTATTTACTTTACAAGCATTTTTATCCTTGTTTATTTTCTTCTCAATAACAGATGGTATACTGTTTCCCATAAAATTATTAATTTGAGCTATATTCAGGTTGGCAGTTTTCACATCATTAATCGATGAAAGATTTTCTAAATCTTGATTAGTAATATTTTGATTACTCAAAAATACATCATCAGAAACAATTTCTTTAAGTTTTACAGAACTGGAACTTGTTGGTGAATCAATTAACTGATTGACTATAAAATTTTGATTTTTAGACACTTCAGATATATTCTCATTTATGGGAGTAATTCTATTATTTTGTTTAATTTGTTCAATTGGACGATTCGAAATTTCCGTCAAATTTGGAAAATTTTTCTTGAAGATTATATTATGTTGGTGATTAGTATGTTGATAAAGAGAATCATTAATAGAATCAACTGTGTTACTGCAATTATTTATATGTTTTATGTATTTAACAAAATTATCAAAACTTTGTTTGCATTGTTTACATGTGAAATCTACAGGAGATATATGATAACTTTTTAAATGGTTTATTAATGTCTTTAGGTTTTTGAAAGTATCCGAACAAATTTGACAAGTAAAATTATGTCCTTCAGATGAAGATTTGTTTGAAACTGAAATTTTATCAATTTCCGCAAGTACATCCAATTTTGACTTCGAAAGTGACTTGTTTTTACAGGACGACATATGATTTTTTAATTGATTCGTTGAAAAACACTGCACATTACAATGACTACAAATATGTTCTGTTATTATAAGATATTCGAATTCATCTGAAGTAATAGCTGACCATTCTTCTCTAGCTGCATTCACTATTGATACTGCTGGGAAATGTGAAACTGAAGCTTTATAAAAACCATCTATATCGTGACGTGACCAATGTTTAAAAAATATAGGACCCATGCCGATAAAACGTACCTTACAAATATGACAAAATAGTTTGATACTTTTAAAATATATTAAATGATTTTTCATATGTTTACGCATTTCGTTGCTATCAGATAACAATGTTTTACAAATGCTGCAATACAGTTTTGATAATTTTGTACATAATTTTTTACCATTACACGAGTAAAATTTTTCATCCAAATGGGCCCTAAAACAATCTATAGTTTGATATAAAACATTGCATATATTGCAAAATAAAACTAGTGCTATGGATGTTTCCTTTTCCAATTCTTTTTCATGACATGCACAAAATTTGAATGATATTTTTTCATGAACTGTAGAATTTTTAATCGATTTATTTTTATTGAGTTCTGTACTTAATGTTTCCAAAACATTTTCTTCTGATATATTTTTTTGAAATCCCATTTCTTTCATTGAAGTTATTTTATTGGTCATACTTTTATCTTTTGCATTTTTTAGACTAGACTGCAATGATTCGACTATCGTACTACTTACAGCTGGTCTATTTACAGATTCCCCGTTAGATTTTTGTATTTCTTCATTTAAATCAATTATATCAATTACATCAATTATTTTATCCTTATTACAACTAACATTTATATATTTCGAGTTCTGATTTTTTTCATTTCCTTTATATATTTTTTTCAACTGTTTTTCTTCAATATGACTATAACAATGATTTGAGAGACTTATCACTGAATCAAATAATTTTGAACAAATATTACATTGTAAACTTTTATCATTATCATTGCTAAATATTGTATAATGTGAAAGTTCGTCTTCATCTCGATTTTTATGATAATGTTTTTCCGTTTTAACTTTAGAAATAGTAGATAATGAGGAAATATTTGAAGGCGTTAATGATTCTGGACTACTACTATCAAGAGCGTAAGATTGTTGCTGCAAACTCGACTCTGGTGCATCATTAGATTTTGAAATATCCAGGATATTCTCATAATTATCCAATGATTTGTAAGAAGAACATTTACTACGTATAAGATTATCTGATGCAGCAATGTTTAATTCAGGTATATTCATTTGTTGTTGTTCTGTTCGCACATTTTCTGGTAACTTTATAATACCATCTGCTTTTTTGAATACATCATTGTGTGATGTAATAACGACATTATCATTAATCGTTACTTCCGTGTTCTGTGGAATTTGTATATCTTCACAATTAATTTCATTTGTCAATTTCAATGTCACATTATTTGTATTTGGAGAAATATTCTGTTTTGTAATAAACGATGGTAATGTTTGAATTGTCTTTAATTCTGAATTTCTTTCCGACATCTCATCTGAAACAACTTCTTTTGTAGATTTTTCTGAAACTCGTTCTAGACATTTTTGTAAAATTGTAAATATTGACCTTTCAATAGAGAGACTTTTCTGTGATGTTTCTGATAAAGTAGGCCTTTCTTCAATTTCACATATTAATGGTTTATGTATTTTTAGATTCTCGTCTTTTATTGATTCAGAACACGTACTAGACATCTCAGATGTACACGAAGAGTTTTCCTCTGATTGTATATTCGATGAATCAGAATTAACTTTGTTATTACAATCAAATACATTACTGGAATGATTAAGGTTCAATTTAAAGTGATCAATACACTGTGCTGTTGAATGTTTTATTGTTGAAAATGAATTTTGTTCTTTACAAGAAGCACTTAAGTTTTTTAATTTCACTAAGAGCACTTTGGGAATTATACGTTGTTTATATTTCGATTGTAAAATAGATAAATTTAATTTACTTGCTTTATTCATATGATTACCACTATCTTCTGTAACTGTTTTGTGAGAATTATCTACAATCTCTGTGGGTAATGTATTTATAGAGACATCTTCATATAGTATAGCAGGTTCTAAATTTTTAGACAAAAGAGCTTGTTGTGCACATTTCTTCTTCCAATTGATAAAATAAATATTATCTTTCATATTTTCTAATTTAGTTAATATGACTTTAGCATTAGTTATGTTTGTATTCTGGGCATACAGATTTGAGTTACTTGTTGTAATTTTATTATCAGTTGGTTTTAAATTGTTTAAAACGGTAATTTGTTCAATATCTTTAACGCTTGATTTAGATGTTCTCTTTCTTCTTTGATTGTTGTTATTAATAGGTTCTATAGGTACTATACATCTTCTTTTAACTTTCGGTTCACATATGCCTTCTTTATCTTCCATTTTATCTTCTCTTCGATCATCATTCTTTCTTTTCTTATTTGACTTATCATTGACATTAATATTATTAGTCAAATTTAAAGAAGTTTTATCTACATCACTATTTTTAGCAAAAATATAACTAACATTATCGTTCGATTGTATCTCTTTACTAGAAAGCTTTTCTGATATACTGGACTGTTCCAGCTTTTGTAATTGTATGTTTTCTGTCTTACTTATTTCATACGTAGATTGATTTTTATTTTTAGTTATATATTTTTCAAGTGTTTTTGGAGATAAATCTTCAATAACTACAAAAACTGTTTTACATGGACTTATAAGTGATCTTTTAATATTACTACTATCTGTATTCACTTTTTTAGAATTATTAATATTTCTTATATTTTTGTAATATTTCATGGACATTACTCCAAACCTTTTAAGTTTCACTGCATGTTTCTTTATGATATTTTTCTCTTGATTATTCTTTTCAGAATAAACTTTTTCATTGGAATTTTTCTTTCTACCTAAAATGAAATACATTAAATATTTTTACAACTTACTTCAATTATATATATATATATATATATATGTATGTATATATAATAATATTCTCTGAATAATCAAAAATAAAACTGCAACATTTTCTAATAACATAAAATAAAAAGCTTTAAAGCATAACAAAGACAGTGTAAATTTTATAAATGGAAAAATCTATAAATTATAAAAATATTGTAAATAAAACTCTATAAATTACAATATATTTCTATAATAACATACAGAAATTGTCTGTAATTGTTAATAAGATTATGTTATACTTTAAAATTGACAAATATATTTCAATTAATCAATTTCTCTCAACTTTAACCTTAATATAATATGTATTGGTACGAGTATAATATGCACCTGCTTTAATTTGATATGTATTTTTATTTATGCATGCACATAAATTTTGTCTTTTGTAAATATTTAAATATTAATTTGTAAAAAAATTATAAATAAAAATTGAATTATGGAGGAAAATTTAGTGTTAGTGATAATTAGAAATCTAATTGGAGTTTACCTTTCATGATTACGAAGTATTCCTTAAATGGCACAATATTCACAATAAAATTCTACACTTGTTATAACTTTTAATCAAAGATAACTTTCATCAATTTATCACGTTTAAACGTTTTTTTTAACGTTGAATAATTCGTTCTGTTTACCTCGTTCTTGATTTAATCTTAATTTTATCAAGATGTCGTTGGCAACACTGAAAAATAAATTATAACCGTTAGAAACCATCGTTTTGTGTCTAAAAAGTTGATATGACTGTAGTAGCTAAAAAGTCTAATATAATATATATATATATATATATATATATTATAGAATATATATATATAAACGGATGTGTTCTATATAAGATAGAAAAAGAGAAAGATAGTCTAACGGCCGCGGAAATGACGACAACGCTTATTCGAATGTAATTCTTGATCGATATATGTACATATATCGATATATTTTTCAAAACATCGTAAAAGCCATTTCTTCGCTCTATCGATATATCGATACATGTATATAAGATATTAAGAAAATGGCTTCAATGACATTTTTAAAAATTTATGTTTTTTTTTCTAAATTCTATCCAAAATACCGTTTGTTTTCGAGAATAGTTGCTGTATAAAATGAAAAGAAACAACAGACATTAATTATCTTTATGTTTCAAATGACACACATAAACTTTTGTTTCTTTTTAACCCTTACACTAAAAAAATAATTTCCGGCTTCTAATATCCCTATTAAACAGTCGTCAGTAATCAATTCATGCTTCACTGTAATCAGAGTTGCTTTGGTGGTGTCTTTTAAAAAAAAAAATAAAGAAGCAAACAAAGAAATTCATTTATGTGATCGTGTATGTGATATTTTTGAAAACATGGTTATGTTCATAGGCTAGTTTCGCAATGATACGATCTTGTTATTCTATGTAAAACGATTTTATTTAATCGTCCGTTATAACAAACACGTTTCTTTACTAAACTTGTTTTTTTTTTAAACAAATTCTTTCTAATGTTTTCAACGCTGAAGCTGTTAACACAATGCTTCATTACCTTGGCAATGTAAAAAAAAAATGTAAAATATTCACTCATCGAATTGTTAAATTGCATATGTAAGAAAAAGAAACGAAGCACCTTTTAATCCGGCCTTAATGTTTGGTTAGTTATATACAAGATATTTCGTTACTTCCATGCAATGTATTAATATGTTGAAATTAATCAATTTCTGATTATATTAACATACCTGTTTTAATTTGTTGCGATTGATCACACATGCGTAAATCAAATAAAGTCCTTTTTTACAAAAATAATATCGTCGGCACTACACGTTATTTTCTCTTCTTTTTTATTCCTTCTTGTTGATAGTGTACTCAGTCAATGAACAGTTAAGCTAGAAGTAACATTCCGTTGGATTTTTGTGAGTACGTAATATTTATTAGTTCATATTTTGTCCGTTTGTATTTTGCATAGTGACAAAAGTATTTTTTGAACTTTCGATTGGAAAAATAAAGTGAAGAGTTAATGACTAAAATATAAAATAGTAAATAATTAAAATATTAATTTTTGTTAACAAAATGTCGCGTAAAGAAATAAGTATATAGTAAAATCCGAATATACAACGAATATGATATCACATACAACACATATGCCACGTGCGACACATGCGCCACGTGCGACACGTGCGCCACGAGATCTTTTGGTGAAATTGGATTTAATTTTAACTTCCGTTTTTAAATACTGTTTCTTACATGATTCATGATCGACTATGCCATCTCGACTTCTTTTATATAGCATTTTCGATAATATGTTAGAATGTTGGCTACACTATATCGAATGAATAATGACGCGGCGCGACTATTTTAATGCGATATGATCAGTATAAACGCCTCTAAAGTGTTTCAGTTTTAAATGTAAACATTATTTAAGAATATATATTTTATATTACTCGCCATAATTGTTAGAAGATTCTTTACTTTTAAATATTATTTTGCGCGGGAATATTACTAATTAACGAAACGATACGTGTTTCCATGGCATAACCTAATAAATGGTTTGTATATCGAGTTATTTTAAAATAGCGTGTGGCATGGGGTTATTAACACACATGCACGCATTACTTTTATTCTATGCTTGTATATTTATATGCACATGTATACATATGTCTATTGAACAATTAAACTCTATTTATTATTTTTCTATTATTATAATGTCAAAACAGTATGAATCAAACAATATTGGTCAAGACAAAAAGGAAAGCCAATAAAACATATATCAACGATTTACCATCTATGAGAGATTATTTTCAACAAAATGAGTGAAACAATTGTAACTAATGAAATTTCCGAAAGTAATGGTGGAACTGATCAACAACCGACTTACAATGGAGAAACTGAAGAACATGCTAGTAATTTCTTTGGATTTTAATTGCATTTAATAAATTATGTATTGGTTAAGACAAATGAACTTATCTATTGAATTGTTATTTTCATCAGACAAATCACCAGGAAGTGCAGAAGATAAAGCACCAGATTCGTTGTGTGACAATGGTATTAAAAAAAATACTGCCATCATAGGTACTGGAAACAGTAATGTTAGTGTTACTAATAGGGGGAAAAAACGTAAAAGAGCTCCAAGAGATGCTACAGCTCCAAAACAACCTCTTACTGGTTACTTCAGGTAAGTATAATCTTAATCAATTGCTTTTAAAAATATCATATACCTTAATAATGTCTTTTATATAGATTTTTAAATGACCGGAGGGAAAAAGTTAGAGGAGACAATCCAACTTTGTCTTTTGCTGAAATCACAAAACTTCTTGCTTCAGAATGGAGTACATTACCCGCTGACCAAAAACAGGTTTGAATATTATTCTTTAATTTTTTCGATACAGCTTTGTTTTTTATCAATATGCTTTCATTGTACAGACAATTAAACTATGAATATGTTGTTATTTAACTGAATAATTATTACGCGAACGTCACTATACTGGAAAAAGAACAAAATAGTTATCAGTATTGAAAGAATTACATTTTAGAAAACTAAATAGATCCAAAATCATTTCTCTAATAGGATTTTATTTACAGCAATATTTAGATGCAGCTGAACAGGATAAGGAACGTTACAATCGTGAATTTAGCGATTATAAACAAACTGAAGCGTACCGTATTTTTAGTGAGAAACAGTCTTCGGAAAAACATACAGAGAAAAAAGAACGGAACGGAACAGATATAAGTACCGAACAAACCGTGAGTATTGTATGCAATTTATCTTAAATTTTATATAGTACTTTGATGTATAGATAAGTCCAAAAGATAACAATAAGAATTTTATTTGAAAATAAGATTTTAAAAAGTATTATTATTTAGGATGTGCAACAAGACAAGGACAATAATTTCACAGGTTTTGATATCCCCATTTTTACAGAAGAATTTTTAGATCACAATAAAGGTAAAGAGGATAAATTAAATTATATATATAATTATATAATTATATATATATATAAGTAATGCATTATTAATTATAAACTAATTTGACTGTATCTGCGTTACATACACATCAGTATCTTTTTATTGTTAACTAGCATGTGAAGGTGAATTAAGACAATTACGAAAAGCTACATCAGATTACGAAGCACAAAATGCTGTACTTCAACGACATGTGGATAGCTTATGTTCAGCTGTAAATCGTTTAGAATCTGAGACTAATCAACAACGTACAACAAATCAAGCATTACAACGTCATCTAGAGTCTTTACGTGCACAATTAGCAGGCTGTTTCGCAGCCATTCCTTTACCAGGTTGTTATCTTTTTTAAGTCATTTTACTCTTATATTATATTATGATATATAAAAAATATATTTGGCATGATTACAAACATTTTTTATTGTATACATTTTCAGGTACACACGAAGGTGCAACGTTACAGAATATCGATAATTATGTTGAAAGGCTTGAAACATTGTTAAGTAGTAATACAGAACAAGCATTGCGTAATGCTGTTCGTAACGCTGTCTCTCGATTAGAATTAATTGGATGACGATCGCCCTCCCGCGTTACAACTACATCATTAAAACACCATCGTTCAAGACATTCGCATCGAAAATAGTTGGAAGAATTATATACAAGTACATAATATATATTTTAGTTAATAAAAATTAGTTATTCTTTAAAGTTTATTTATATGTCGAATGAAATTACTGTATATTATATAAGAAGAATTGTTTCGCGGTACTATAGTTCTTTTATTATTATGGAGTCTTACATATGGTCATTTATCTCTCTCTTTAGGCTGTTTTTATATTGCTAATATATTTAAACTATTATATTGAAATCGTTCTAAGTTGTTCACATTGTTTTAAAGTAACGTAATTACTTTATATGAAAATATAAGTTATTAGATTTATCTTATTTTTAATAATAAAAAAGAAATTACAAAAAGAGAGAAAATAAAAGATTAGAATAATCCATCTTTAAAATTCGTACAAAATTGAAATAGTTCTAATTGTACTACTTAGTATTTATTAATAAATTTTCAACATTATTATTGCTTATTTACCATGTTCCGTACGAAATTTTGAAATTGGTTAAGTGTATATCTAAGTCAAAAATGAAAAAAAAAATACATTTAATAGAGAAAAAAAATAAACATACTGAAATATAAAAATCGTATTACAATATATTGAAAAAATATGATTACAGTTTTTACCTTAAAGATGCAGCATTAGGACGTCTATATTTTTCAAGATCAACTACAATGGATTCTATTTGTGGAAGTAAGATTTTGATTGCATCGATTCTTAAAGGTGTAATTGAACGCATAAATTCAAACAAAGACTGAGGATATATTGTAAGATACCTCTGTAGAATATCAGATAAAATGTTCGTCAATTTTTCTCTGTAAATAAATATATCAAATGTGGGTTTATATTATTTAATATAACTTAATTACAATTAAAAAACAGACTTATACCTTATAAAAACATTCTCCCTGTAATAACAATTTGTGAAAATACTATTCATAAAATCAATAGCATGATGTTTATGTGGATAATCGTGGACTTTTAAATAAGAGGTAATGACATGGGGTACACAAATTGTTATAATTTGTTCTGTTATGTTAATTGCATACGTTTTATCTCCTTTTAATAAAGTTTTCAAGAGTAATAATACCTACAAGTTGAATAATTATAAATAACCTAATAAGATAAAATAATTTAACGCATAATCTATTAGAAATTAAAATATATACATACCAAATGATTATGCTTATGCAAATTATTTTCAGACGAAATTGTAAAAAACAATGTCATAAGCATTTCAAATATAAGATATGAAAAATCAGCTTTTGCATCCTGGAAGCATTTAAGTAAAGTATCGGATACTTTAAAATTTCCACTAGTATCCTGCGTTATTAAAATTGGAATGTATTGATCAAATAAACTTCTATTTAGTACTTGTAATGAAATGTCACTTTTAATATTCAAAGATTCTAATCCAAGGATTATCATGGAAAATATTTTTTTACACAAGTTCTTGATGTAACCCTGAGAAGATTGTTCTGTCGGAAGGGCGATTTTATGTAATAGAACTTTCAACATGCTGTTTGCCTGATTCTATACATAAATATAATATTCATTAATTTAAAAATGAATTAGAATCAATAACAAAATTTTTTAAACATATTTTTATACCTTCCCATAAAACATAGGAGCAGAACATAGAATTAATGTTCCTGCACATCTATAAATCCAATAGGCAAGCTCTGTTTCTTGAGTCTCCTCTGTTATAGATGAAAGTATCCACTTATCTAAATTATTGAAATATAATCTGTACCTTATGTCAAACTGAACTTTTTCATGTTCATTCTATAAAATATTAAGATATATATATATAATACTTTTATAGTTAAAATAATACATAACTACTAATATTAACATAAAACTTACAATCAAATTACCTTAAAGGATTTACGTTTTCTCATTGCAGACATTGTAAATATTAATATAGCTTCTTTGTTATTCTTGAATTCATTAAAATCTTGATTAGTAAGAAAAATTTCTCTAATTTCATTTAATTGAGATACATAATTTTGTAAAATTTGTATTTCTGTCCAATTTTCATCATATCCCAAAATAGAACATTTGACCCATGCCTAAAGTATACAAATTAATTTTGAAACATTTAAAATGTATATTATTTTAGTCATAGGTAATATCAAATAAAATTATATACAAACTTGTATAAGCATGAGATCAAGATTTTTAAGCTCTTTTTTCAAATTGTGTATGTTTTCTTCTTCTTGAAGTATTATCATTAAATAATATCGTGTGATTCTAGAAAACATTTATAAAAATTTAATATTTATTTCAAAAAATATATTATATGTAATAATAATTTATAGGTGAATACAAACAAAAAATAA